ATCATCGCCTCGTCCCCATATTCGGACCGGCTCACCAGCGCCATCGTCCCCATATTCGGACCGGTTCGTCAGCGCTGTCGTCCTCATATTCGGACCGACTCATCAGCGTCGTCGTCCTCGTATTCAGACAGACGTCCACCGCCTCGTCCCCCTATTCAGATATAGCGAACATCTTGCGGTCTCCGACCGAAAGGCTAAAGGAACCCAGAGTTCAGCCATATATGGCTCCGTCATCTTTATTTGATGACGCAAAGCTCATTTGCAAGCCCATCGGCCATATATCGCTCTGTCATCTTTATTTGATGATGAATAGCTCATTTGTAGGCCCATCGGCCATATATCGCTCTGTCATCTTTATTTGATGATGAAGAGCTCATTTGTAGGCCCATCGGCCATATATCGCTCTGTCATCTTTATTTAATGACGAAGAGCTCATCTACAGGCCCATCGGCCATATATCGTTCTGTCATTTTTATTTGATGACGATCAATTCATTTGTAGGCCTCTGAGCCACATCTTGCTCCGTCATCTTTATTTGATAATGTGGGGCTCTCATGTAGGCCTCTCGGCCATACGTCGCCCCGTCATCTTTATTTGATCACGTGGAGCTCTCATATAGGCCTCTCTCAGCCATACATCGCCCCGTCGTCTTTATTTGACGACGTGGAGCTCTTATGCAGGCCCCTCGGCCGCACCATCACCCCGTCGTCTTTATTTGACGACGTGAAGCTCTTATGCAGGCCCCTCGGCCGCACCATCGCCCCGTCGTTTTTATTTGACGACGTGGAGCTCTTATGCAGGCCCCTCGGCCGCACCATCGCCCCGTCGTCTTTATTTGACGACGTGGAGCTCTTATACAGGCCCCTCGGCCGCACCATCACCCCGTCGTCTTTATTTGACGACGTGGAGCTCTTATGCAGGCCCCTCGGCCGCACCATCACCCCGTCGTCTTTATTTGACGACGTGGAGCTCTTATGCAGGCCCCTCGGCCGCACCATCGCCCCATCGCCTTTATTTGACGACGTGGAGCTCTTATGCAGGCCCCTCGGCCGCACCATCACCCCGTCGTCTTTATTTGACGACGTGGAGCTCTTATGCAGGCCCCTCGGCCGCACCATCGCCCCGTCGTATTTATTTGACGACGTGGAGCTCTTATGCAGGCCCCTCGGCCGCACCATCACCCCGTCGTCTTTATTTGACGACGTGGAGCTCTTATGCAGGCCCCTCGGCCGCACCATCGCCTCGTCGTCTTTATTTGACGACGTGGAGCTCTTATGCAGGCCCCTCGGCCGCACCATCGCCCCGTCGTCTTTATTTGACGACGTGGAGCTCTTATGCAGGCCCCTCGGCCGCACACATCGCCCAATCGTCTTTATTTGACGACGTGGAGCTCTATGCAGGTCCCTCGGCCATACATCGCCTCGTCGTCATTATTCGACAACGTGGAGCTCTCGTACAGGCCTCTCGGCCCATCGGCCTTACGTTCTGGTCATCTTTATTTGATGAACCAGACATCATATTGTGGACGGTCGCTCGACCCATCTCTTAGTCATCTTTATTTGATGACTAGGACTACTGATCATGATGAGCTACCCACATCTAGAGATCGGCCTCGACCATCGCCCCAGCAGACGGGCATCGTTGCAGCTCCATCTCCAGGCCGAAGGGTTCGCACCTTTTGTTTCATTTTGGGGGCATCCGGTGTACTCTTTTTCCCTCATTAGGATTTTTTCCCACAGGGTTTTTCCTAATGAGGTTTTTAACGAGGCATCTCCCCATCGTGGATCAAAAGGTGTCAACCCTCGCCCCCCTGTTGAAGACATCATCCGACACGCATTACTCTTCTCCTCTTCACCTCATTACACTCGCCTCAAGGAGTGGGGGACTGGAAGAGCGGGGGACTTAGCGCCTCTGTTAACCAAAGAAGCAGAAATTCAAATTTTTATTCATGAAGTTTACTCACCAGACGGCGACAGATCAGCACACAGTTCTACTCTCTTTCGCCTCGAATACTCTCGACTTAGAGAGTAGGGGACTCCTGATAGAGTATATAGACTCGGACCCCCGGGTCTCATGACTATTGGGCCCGGACAACGGCCCACACACATCTTACGGATATCATTTGTATTATTGTACTGCTTATATGTCATTTGTATGTAACTATGTACTAGATTAGTCTTTTATGTAGTTGGGCTACCGGGCCCATATTAGCGGCCCGGCCCATTATTTCCCTATTTATACTCCTCTTGGAGCCATTTGTAACCCTAGAACACAATTCCTAACATTTAGAACATACTATTCATTCATCTTCTTCCTCACATTAGCTCAAATCTCTCCATTTTAATATATTTGGATCCATATAATCCATCAGGTAGAATAGCAGAAGAGTTAGTCCTATTTTGGAGATTTAAACATCAAACTCCTATTGTTATAATTATCCTTTTATTTAATCCAATTTAGGGAAATCTCCCTATTTACAATTAACTTCATTCAAAATTACATGTAAAGCCTATTTTGTAACCCATAAATTAGTCTCCACGGTTGATTTTACTGAAACTTATGAAACTTTGTTAATTTTATTGAATTTTATGAAATTATGACTAAAGCAATTGGATGAGCTCATTATGTTGAATTACATTCAAAATATAATTATTAATAAAATAAAGAAAAAATAATATGAAAATTACTAAAATTGTCATCCACGGTAACTTTAGCTATGTCAAACAGTTAAGTAACTCCAAATTGACTTATTTTGATTATTAACATCTATCTCAACGCGCGAAATCAAAAATTATGTATTTGAAGAAAGAATCGAGCTGAGGCTGATCAGACGAAAAATAAGATCGCCAAACAAGTGATCTTTTATAGCTTTGGTGTAGGGAAAAATAAATACTACGTAAAATTTGTCTCAACTTTGCAGAAATATGATCTCCACTTTCTATAATTGTTGCTTTAAAAATATTTCCCTCTATTCCAATTTCAGTTATCGGTAACCTCTTTTAATTAACAAGTGATATTCTGAAATTAAAGGTTAATGAATAAATCCACTTGATAACAAAATATTTCCACGTTGGAGCGGTCCATGGGAGCAGTTTTTATACCGTGGGTGCAGTCCATGATGAGCATGATGCTCCCACAGCTAAATACATGTGAATAGTAACACGCGTAAACATCAATTTTTTTTTGTCTCGGTAGCAAAGTGATGTAACTCAGGTGTAAACAAATGTAACTCACGTTCATAAGAAATATAACTGCATGCAAGTTGAAATGTAACTTGTCTAATACGGAGTATAAGAAATAAAAATTTGATTTCAATGTAAACAATGAAAAAATAGTCTAATTGCCCAATTACCTTACGTAAATAGTGAATATGTTTTGTATTTAATATCAAGACGATAAAAATGATTTTAAAATTATTATTTTTAAATGATATTTTAAAATGCTTTTAAAAAATTATTTAAAAAAAGTTTTTAAAAATCATTTTTTAAATTTGAATAACAATGGTTTATTCTATGATGTAACTCGCGCTAATTAAAAATATAACGACTTACGTGTATGTGATGGAGTATATTCTCAATCAGTGGACAAAAAGGCTCCCAAGCATCTCAAAACACTCAAGTACATAAGTTCCATCTGAGGCCGACCTCGACACCCGAGGTCGGGAAAAGATACAAGGCAACAAATTGACAAAGGCCAGAAGTCTAGCCGAGGCCGACCTTGACCCCCCTAGGTCGGTGCGAACAACAAGCTTGGGAACCAACTAGATAAGACAAAATATGAGGCCGAGTTCGGGCACGCCGAGGTCGGATGTCAGCACCGACATGTCCCACTAATGTATAGTCAAGCGAAATCAACGGGAGAGTCAATGCTACCAGACAAGATCGAAGACCACAGATAGATCCTCCAACAATGACCTTAGGCATCTGAGCTCTGACCTCTAGGAGCTCCGGGCCTCACCAACATCATATGGACTTGGGCATTTCGCGGAATCAAGCGCCACACAAACTATCCTCACATCACCAATGTTGTAGAAAGCGCCACATCACTCCCAGTGGATAAGAGGAAGAATGTTCCAGATAGTACACGTGTAACCCGCACGTGTATTCTGGTGTAAGTTTGTTACGGACAGTTCCAATCAGCCAGTTGTCCCAATTATCTCTCCAATCACCTTTACACGTGTCAACACACTATCAGATTAGTCTGATTATTCTGTTAGACAGGCATGACACGTGTCCTCTTCACAATAGAACAACATCGTTTTTACTTTAGCACTAAGTATTACCTTTTAGTGTGTGTCTATATCACCTTCCAACATATGGAAAGAGATCCGAAATTGAATACTCTTGTTGTTACTGATGGATTATAGGTATCCAAGTATATATAAAATGGGAGAGATTTGAGCATATAGAGAGGAAGATGAATGAATAGTGGTATTGAGAGTTATGTTCTAGGGTTACAAATGGCTCCAAGAGGAGTATAAATAGGGAAATAATGGGTTGGGCCGCTAATATGGGCCTGGTAGCCCAACTACATAAAAGACTAATCTAGTACATAGTTACATACAAATGACATATAAGCAGTACAATAATACAAATGATATCCGTAAGATGTGTGTGGGCCGCTGTCCGGGCCCAATAGTCATGAGACCCAGGGGTCCGAGTCTATATACTCTATCAGGAGTCCCCCACTCTCTGAGTCGAGAGTATTCGAGGCGAAAGAGAGTAGAACTGTGTGCTGATCTGTCGTCATCAAGTGAGTAAACTTCGTGAACAAAAATTTGAATTTCTGCTTCTTTGGTTAACGGAGGCGCTAAGTCCCCCGCTCTTCCAGTCCCCACTCCTTGAGGCGAGTGTAATGAGGTGAAGAGGAGTAGAGTAATGCGTGTCGGATGATGTCTTCAACAGGGGGCCGAGGGTTGACACCTTTTGATCCACGACGGGGAGATGCCTCGTTAAAAACCTCATTAGGAAAAACCCTGTGGGAAAAAATCCTAATGAGGGAAAAAGAGTACACCGGATGCCCCCAAAATGAAACAAAAGGTGCGAGCCTTTCGGCCTGGAGATGGAGCTGCAGCGGTGCCTGTCTGCTGGATGGTCGAGGCCAATCTCTAGATGTGGGTAGCTCATCATGATCAGTAGTCCTAGTCATCAAATAAAGATGACTAAGGGATGGGTCGAGCGCCCGTCCACAATATGATGTCTGGTTCATCAAATAAAGATGACCAGAACGTAAGGCCGATGGGCCGAGAGGCCTGTACGAGAGCTCCACGTTGTCAAATAAAGACGACGAGACGATGGTGCGGCCGAGGGGCCTGCATAAGAGCTCCACGTCGTCAAATAAAGATGACGGGGCGATGGTGCGGCCGAGGGGCCTGCATAAGAGCTCCACGTCGACAAATAAAGACGACGGGGCGATGGTGCGGCCGAGGGGCCTGCATAAGAGCTCCACGTCGTCAAATAAAGACGACGGGGCGATGGTGCGGCCGAGGGGCCTGCATAAGAGCTCCACGTTGTCAAATAAAGACGACGGGGCGATGGTGCGGCCGAGGGGCCTGCATAAGAGCTCCACGTCGTCAAATAAAGACGACGGGGCGATGGTGCGGCCGAGAGGCCTGCATAAGAGCTCCACGTCGTCAAATAAAGACGACGGGGCGATGGTGCGGCCGAGGGGCCTGCGTAAGAGCTCCACGTCGTCGAATAAAGACGACGGGGCGATGGTGTCGCCGAGGGGCCTGCATAAGAGCTCCACGTCGTCAAATAAAGATGACTGGGCGATGGTGCGGCCGAGGGGCTTGCATAAGAGCTTCACATCGTCAAATAAAGACGACGGGGCAATGGTATGGCTCAGAGGCCTGCATAAGAGCTCCATGTCATCAAATAAAGATGACGGAGCGAGATATGGCCGATGGTCCTGTAGATGAGCTCTTCGTCATTAAATAAAGACGACAGAGCGATATATGGCTAATGGGCCTACAAATGAGCTCTTCATCATCAAATAAAGATGACAGAGCGATATATGGCCGATGGGCCTGCAAATGAGCTTCGCGTCATCAAATAAAGATGACAGAGTGATATATGGCTGAACTCTGGGCTCCTTTAGCCTTTCGGCCGGAGACCGCAAGATGTTCGCTATATCTGAATAGGGGGATGAGGCGGTGGACGCCTGTCTGAATATGAGGACGACGACGCTGATGAGTCGGTCCGAATATGAGGACGACATCGCTGACGAACCGGTCCGAATATGGGGATGATGGCGCTGGTGAGCCGGTCCGAATATGGGGACGAGGCGATGATAAGCCATGCGTCGTATGAAGGCGACGGTCACCATCCAGGAAGGGAATGGCGAGCCTGGTCGCTAGATAAGGACTTCGGCGCTGGGGCCGGTCTAAATGTGAGGACGAGGCGATGATGAACCGTGCGTCATATAGGGGCGACGGTCGCCGTCCGGGAAGGGATGGCGAGCCCAATCGCTATAACAAGACTTCGGCGCTGGGAGCCGGTCTTGAGATAAATAATCACGTCGCGGCCGAGAGGCTGATCGCGATGTGCGGATGACAATGATGAGGGGCCAGTCCGAAATATGATGACGAGGCGATGATGGAGTCGATCGTCATATAGAGGCGATAGTCACCATCTAGGAGGGGATGGCGAGTCTGATCGCTAGCCCAACACACTCGGCGCTGATGAAGCCGGTGTTGGGATAGGTTGTGACGTCGTGGCCGAGGGGCCGATCGTGATGCGAGGTCGTCATCACTATGAGGCTGATCCAAAAGTCCAAGCAGCGGTCACCATCCGATGAAGGAATGACTGAGACCGGTCTTGGGGATAGATAATCATGCCGAGGCCGAGGGGCCGATCGTGATGTGCGGACGGAGATGATGAGCCGATCCGATAATACGATGACGAGGCAAGATTGGAGCCGATCGTCATATAAGGGCGATGGTCACCATCCAGGAAGGGATGGCGAGCCCGATTGCTAGCTCAAGACTCTCGGCGCTGAGGAAGCCGGTCTTGAGATAGATAGTCACGCCGAGGCCGAGGGGCCGGTCGTGATGTGCGGATGGCGATGAAAATAAAACCAATCCGAGATATGATGACGAGGCAATGATGAGCCGGCCGTCATATAGAGGCGATGGTCACCATCCAGGAAGGGATGGTGAGCCCAATCGCTAGCTCAAGATCGCATTGAGACCGAGGGGTCTGCCGCGATGTGAGGATGACGGCGATGATGATCCGTTCCAATAAATGATGACGAGGCCATGATGGGCCAATCGTCATGTAAAGGCGACGGTCACCATCCAGGAAGGGATGGTGAGCCCGATCGCCAGCTTAAGACTCTCGGCGCTGAGGAAGCCGGTCTTGAGATAGATAATCACGCTGAGGCCGAGGGGCCGGGCATGATGTGAGGACGACGACGATGAGGGGCCGGTCCAAAAATCTATGCAATGGTCGTCATCCGGTAAAGGAATGACTAAGACCGGTCTCGAGATAAATAATCACGTCGAGGCCGAGGGGGTTGATCGTGATATGAGGACGACGACGATGAGGAGTCGGTCCAAATAATGATGACGGGGCGATGGTGAAGCCGATCGTCATATAGAGGCGATGGTCACCATCCGGGAAGGGATGGCGAGCCCGATCCCTGGCTCAAGACTCGCGGCGCTGAGGAAGCCGGTCTTGAGATAGATGATCACGCCGAGGCCGAGGGGCCGGTCGTGATGTGAGAACAACGTCGATGAAGAGCCGGTCCTATAATATGATGACGAGGCGCTGATGAAGCTGATCGTCATATAAAGGCGATGGTCACCATCCAGGAAGGGATGATGAGCCCGATCGCTGACTCAAGACTCGCGGCGCTGAGGAAGCCAATCTCGAGATAAATAATCACGCCGGGGCCGAAGAGCCGATCGTGATGTGAGGACGACGACGATGAGGAGTCGGTCCAAATAGTGATGATGAGGCTATGGTGAAGCCGATCGTCATATAGAGGCGATGGTCACCATCCGGGAAGGGATGGCGAGCCCGATCGCTGGCTCAAGACTCGCGGCGCTTAGGAAGCCGGTCTTGAGATAGATGATCACGCCGAGGCCGAGGGGCCAGTCGTGATGTGAGGACAATGGCGATGAGGAGCCGGTCCTATAATATGATGACGAGGCGCTGATGAAGCTGATCGTCATATAAAGGTGATGGTCACCATCCAGAAAGGGATGGTGAGCCCGATCGCTGGCTCAAGACTCGCGGCGCTGAGGAAGCCGGTCTTGAGATAGATGATCACGCCGAGGCTGAGGGGCCGGTCGTGATGTGAGGAAAACGGCAATGAGGAGCCGGTCCTATAATATGATGACGTGGCAAGGCGTTGGCGCCGGACTGAACATGTAGGACGGTGGAGCTGGTCCGAAGATGAGGGACGGCGCTGGGCGCTCGTCTGAGATGAGGGACGGCGCTGGGCGCTCGTCTGAGATGAGGGACGGCGTTGGGCGCTCGTCTGAACATGAGGGACGGCACTGGGCGCTCGTCTGAAAATGAGGGACGATGCTGGGCGCTCGTCTGAAAATGAGGGACGGCACTGGGCGCTCGTCTCACAAATGAGGGACGGCGCTAGGCGCTCGTCTGAGATGATGGACGGCGTTGGGCGCTCGTTTGAAAATGAGGGACGGCGCTGGGCGCTCGTCTAAAAAATGAGGGACGGCGCTGGGCGCTCGTCTAAGAATGAAGGACGGCGCAAGGCGCTCGTCTAAGAATGAAGGACGGCGCAGGGCGCTCGTCAGAAAATGAGGGACGGCGCAGGGCGCTCGTCTAACAAATGAGGGACGGCGCTGGGCGCTCGTCTAAGATGATGGACGACGCTGGGCGCTCGTTTGAGATGATGGACGGCGCTGGGCGCTCGTCTGAAAATGAGGGACGACACTGGGCGCTCGTCTAAAAAATGAGGGACGGCGCTGGGCGCTCGTGTAAGAATGAAGGACGGCGCTGGGCGCTCGTCTGAGATGATGGACGGCGTTGGGCGCTCGTCTGAGATGATGGACGGCGCTGGGGGCTCGTCTGAGATGATGGACGGTGCTGGGCGCTCGTCTGAGATGATGGACGGCGCTGGGGGCTCGTCTGAGATGATGGACGGCGCTGGGCGCTCGTCTGAGATGATGGATGACGCTGGGCGCTCGTCTGAAAATGAGGGACTGCGTTGGGAGCTCGTCTGAAAATGATGGACGGCACTGGGCGCTCGTCTAAAAAATGAGGGACGGCGCTGGGCGCTCGTCTAAGAATGAAGGACGGCGCAGGGCGCTCATCTGAAAATGAGGGACGGCGCTGGGTGCTCGTCTAACAAATGAGGGACGACGTTGAGCGCTCGTCTAAGATGATGGACGGCACTGGGCGCTCGTCTAGTCCGCATGTATGGTCTTGCTTCGTCCATAATGTGTAGTATTTGCCTGATATGTACTTAGTATTGTTGTGGGGATTTCATTTTTTGTTGCTCGAGGCCGGCGAGTGCGCGCGGTCCTCGGCTTCCCTCTTTTATTTTTTCTTTTTCCTTTTCTTTTCCTTTTTTTTTGATTCCGTTCCCCATTTCAGGGAGTGTCCTTCTTTCAGGCTTCTGCCGAAGGGGTCGCTAGTCCTTCGGCCGGTTCGGACTTCGTTTATAACGTCCGTGATCTCAGGGGGGGGTCCCGTCGCCTATTTATGACGCGAGCTAGACTTTTGGTTGGTTTTCAACGACTGCCGTTGCCCGACCCTGAGTTTGGGGATTTTGTCACCTCGACCATGATTTCAGGCCTGTCGTCCTGCGATCGGGCGCGTGGACGACGCGGTGAACTTTCCATTTCAAGACGTGGGCCGTTTGCGGGCTCGTCGTCCTGGGGACATCGTCGGCCCTGCCTGAGCATTTCGCTCTAAGGGGCCGATACGACGTGCTCTCTCAGCTGGGCCTGAGCCTTTCGCTGATACAAAATACAAAGTGGAGCAGACCTGAGCTTTTCGCTCGAAGGCTGCTGATACGACACGTGGTATCTTCTATTTACATTTCCAAAAAATAAGCGGAATACAATAGGTGCGTTGTTCATGGCAACGGGTTTTGGGCGACGCGATTAGCGTCTCGGAGAACGAGGTGTACCGTTTAACGCTCTCGGGCATAATATCATGTGGGGCCGGTAACGGCTCTCATTTTTAGATGCCCGAGTCACCAAATAAAGGTGGCTAGGGTAGGTCGAATGACCCAAATATAATTCAAATCATCAAATAAAGATGTTCAGTAGACTAGAGCTCGGGTTCACCGCTCTGAGGTTTTTAACCCGCTCTAATAGTGATGATAAAACTAATAACGCCAATAATAAATTTTCATTAGCGACCTCGAGAAATTTTAATCCCTCATAATGGTCTTCACCACCTCGGGGGGTTTTTAACCCGCCATAATGGTGGTGGAAATAATATAATTAATAATAGTAATAATTATACTACTATCATTTAATAAATATTTTAAGTGTATAAATAGGAGGAAATTTGGGGTACTTAGCTTCTTATATGGGCTGCTTGGCCTGAAATATGTTGCTGAGATTGAGGCCCACCACCCTTTTTGACCAATTTTGACCTAGCCCCCCTGATAATCTGCTGCAAAAGCTTTCTCCAGATCCCTTCAGCTTCCTATGCGACCCAGACCCCAAGCAGTTAGACGGGAGCAGCACACTGGTTCAATAGACCGGAGCAGCCCAACAGTGACGGAGGATGGCGAAGGCGGAGCTTAACCAGACTATACCAGCGACGAAGTTTCCTCAGGCGGAGATTGATGTCTTCCTCAGGTGGACCCGACGGCAGCACGAATTGGCCGGGAGTAGGCTCACTATAGCTCCGACAGCGCCGACATATCTTCCTCAGTACCGGCGACGTGTGATACACCCTTCGAGTTGGGTCCGCAGGGGAATTCCGAACTGTTTATTACTGGAGCTCTTAGGGTCCATTAATGGCGGATCTGTGAGGCTTAACTCCAATATCCGAGGCGAGTGAGCTAGAGATGGAAGTCACCGCCTCGGTTCCGAGCCTCGAGCTGCGGCAGCGACCAACAGGGTGCCAGAGGTTGTTTGTAGTGCATCGATCTCAACCTCACTGCGGGCAGCTGGGTTGGCGCAGATCTGGACGGGAAACTGCAGGTCCGTATTCTTCGCTAGGCCTGGGGCAACTGCGGTGCTGGAATTCAGCAAGTGCAGCAGCAGATAGCGTTCTTGACCTTGGCAGAGACGGCGGCTTAGCATTTTTCATTTCCAGATTGTTTTTTATTGTTCTTCACATTTTCAGATCCGTTTTTGACTGATTTCTTTTGTAATTTGGATGAGTTTTTGGAGATTTTGGGAGGAATCTAACTTGATTTTGCTCTAATCTCTCAACGAGAGCACCATTGATGGATTATAGGTATCCAAGTATATATAAAATGGGAGAGATTTGAGCATATAGAGAGGAAGATGAATGAATAGTGGTATTGAGAGTTATGTTCTAGGGTTACAAATGGCTCCAAGAGGAGTATAAATAGGGAAATAATGGGCCGGGCCGCTAATATGGGCCCGGTAGCCCAACTACATAAAAGACTAATCTAGTACATAGTTACATACAAATGACATATAAGCAGTACAATAATACAAATGATATCCGTAAGATGTGTGTGGGCCGTTGTCCGGGCCCAATAGTCATGAGACCCGGGGGTCCGAGTCTATATACTCTATCAGTTACTCTACAGAAATTCTTACTCGATCATACTTAAGCTTTCCGTCCTTCTCACATTCCCAGATTCCGACTACCCCAGGGTCGGCAGTTGATAAGTCTGATTAGTTCATATATTTTAAGTCACTTTTTATAGCATTTCTTGTTAAACTCAGGGCAAGTTGATACATTTTTCTGCGTTTTTGTTATATTTGTGTTAATGTTTGAAATTAGTGTTGAATTTTACGTTATTAAGTGATTTGCGTTTAATTCAAGTGTTTGGATTGATTATATGTTTGTTTTTCACTGCTTACTTGTGTTATTTATATTTTTTGATTTGTCAAATTTCAGCTTGCTATTCCGTATTATATTTCAATTTGATATCTTTTATTACAACATTTGAAATAAAGTAAAAGAAAACCAAAAAAGAGAACCAAATAATGATGTTTTTACTTGGACTGTAATTTGTTGGTCTGGTCCGGTCCGGTATGGTCTGTTTTGGTCTGGTCTGGTCTGATCTGAAATTTATTTTTATATTTTTTGTATAAAGATTTTATTTTTTATATATATTATAATCCATAAATAATTATATTTTATTCATTTATAATTACAAATAATAATAACAATAACAATAACAACAATAATAATGATAACAATAATAATAATAATAATAATAATAATAATAATAATAATAATAATTAGGGGTATGCACTATCCGGTTTAAACCATAAAACCGGACCGAACCGGACCGGAAAAACTGGAATCGGATCGAACCGGAATATATCCGGTCCGGTTCGGTCCGGTCCGGTCCGGTTTTGAACGGGTGCACACCCCTAATAATAATAATAATAATAATAATAATAATAATAATAATAATAATAATAATAATAATAATAATAATAATAATAATAATTAGGAGTGTGCACTAGCCGGTTTAAACCGGACCGAACCGGACTGGAAAAACCGGAATGATATCCGGTCCGGTTCAGTACGGTCCGGTCCGGTTTTGAACCGGTGCACACCCCTAATAATAATAATAAAAATACTAATAATAATAGTAATAATAATAATAGTAATAATAATAATAATAATAGATTTTTAGTATTAAAAAGTAAATCTATTTCGTATAAATTATAGGTTGAGACTAGAATATAAAGAAGATACATATATTACTCCTATTTTGAGAATAAAAGGAGTATAATCTTAATGTGGAACTTTAAACTATTTTTAGTCTAATTTAGGGCTAATAGCTTGTAAATAGTACTCCCTCCGTCCAGGTCATTTCTTCCGGTTTTGACGGGTATCACAAATTTAGGTAGTGAGAATAAAGTGAAAATGTATGATTGTAATTGTGTAAAAAAAGTGAATGAATGTGAACTACATATTTTTTCCAAAATTGGAAGTTGGAAGAATTAATTGGGACGACCCAAAAAGTAAAGTTGGAAGAAATGACCGGGACGGAGGGAGTAATAAATGTTTTTACCGACCGTTTTACAAAAAAGGATGACACCCCATCCACGAGGGCCCCCCAACCCCGACCGGACGGTACGTTGGGAAGATGTAAGTTGGACTATAATTCCAATCTGACAGATAGAGAGTGAAGCTCTGTCCCGATACTTGCAGAGGCCTATGCATTTTTTACCATATTAACCTTGAGGGGATTCAAACCGAGCTAACCCTTTTGCCACTCCTGCCTCTCGGTTGGACCTAACATGATTTACCGACCGTTTTACAATTCTATTTGAGTGTCATTTGTCAACTTCATAATTTGACCATATTGCTCTCCTTGCCTGACCCAGTGACCGCATCTAATGCTACACCTTCGGAATGTTTCCTCCATCCTTCAGTCACTCCAGTCAGACTGCGAGCTTGATCCCGCGTAATTCAGCTATCCGTCGGAAGGACTCATCCCGCACAATTCAATACTCTTAAAGTTTGCAATTTTTTAGACGATGGAAGTGCGATTAATGTTTGTCTTGTTATTGGTGCATTATGCTTCTTCCGCCGGCAGATCGGCAGCCTCTCCGGTTTCTGGTGATGTTGTCGGAATCTCTCCTCAAGGTCCTGGTCATCTTCATCCCCCTTTCCTCATTTTGCTTCTTTCTTTTTTTGTTTATTTTCTTTTATCGATTGAAGTTTTCCATGTTTATTTTACTGCAGACGAGGAGTACTACAAAGCCCTATCAATGGGGGCGTCCATAAAATGCAAAGACGGATCCAACAAGTTCACGAAGTCTCAATTCAATGACGATTTCTGTGACTGCACAGATGGCTCCGATGAGCCAGGTCCTCAATTTATTACCACCTATTAAATATCTAACACCACCCAATTTCATAAAATTACATCTATGCGTGCTTCGCTGTACTTGTAATAACTTCTGGGCTAGCTGGAAATACTTACCGGAGAATCTTGAGTTGTCTTGGTGGTTGATTTTACAGGCACATCAGCTTGTCCGGAAGGAAAGTTCTTTTGCAAGAATGCTGGGCATTCTCCGATATTTATTTATTCATCAAGGGTGAACGATGGCATCTGCGGTACGAATTCTTGCATTCTAATGTATCAGGGTGTCTTTATTAGCCTCTTATGAATCATTGAAGCCCCAACTCTGGTATTAGTGTTTCTCACTACGACACTACCTCCATCCCATTGAAGAAAAGTAAAAATTGTGTGGTTGAGATTTATTTTTATCTTTCTTATGTTCTTATGTTCTTATGTTATTTTTATCTTATCTATTTTATCTTACCTTATCTTTTTATTTTTCTTATCTTTGTTCTTTTTTTGGCTCTGATATCATGAATCGATTCATGTTAGCGGACCCCAAAAACTTTTGGGAATAAGGCTGGGATGTTGTTGTTGTAAAGAGAAAGTGTCAAATTTTGTGGGACAAACAAAAAAGGAAAGTTGTCAAAGTCATGGAGGGAGTACCATTTTTATTACAATATTTGCCATGTATACTCCCTCCCTCTCTCTCTTCCCTTGTGACTTGACAGGCTTATATAAAAAGTGAAATTGTATGGATCTGATTGATGTCAAAAGAAAGAGAAACAATACCATCCTTACAAACCTTTACATAAAAGGAAATTGGAAGAAAAATTTGAAACATCTCAAAAAGCAAAGTTTTAAGAAAATCACGGGATGGAGAGACTATAACTGTATAAGGAATCAAAAGTAATACTCCGTATCTTGTGCAGTTGTTTGACTCTCTTAGTGTATACAACCTGTTTCTTGAACATCAGTTTGCAGTTATCTGTAAAAGTACATGCATACATACAAACTAAGGAACTTCGAAGTTTATATGATGGTTGATAATGTATAAATATGCATTTTCATACTGCAAAATAAATACTTGCATTTCAGTGTATATTTGGAATTTTGGATGCTAATAACTATTTCAAGTGGAATCGACGGTCAAGTATGTCTTTAAAAAATATATCTAAATGATGATGTATTAATTGCTTATGCTGTTATGCAAAGCAGTTGGTCCCTTTCAATGATGACCATGATAATGTGTGATCATTAAATACGTCTTCCTTTCCGGCTTATGTGAATGTGTGTTAACTGATGATTCAATGAGTATCCTTTCATGCTACCATTATACTCCTCCATCCTAAGATAAGGTTCTTATTTTCTATCTTTGTCCGTCCCAAAATAAGGTTCGTGTTTTTTAAAGAAAGAGTTGCGCAATTCATATTATTTATCCCGTGATTTTAAAAGGTGTGCGGGGCTTACACAACTAAGGCACTAAGGTGCAAGGAGTGAAGAATTAGCCTCCAAAGCTTAAGCCTAAATTGATTTAAATGAGCCTTATGCCTTATGGAGTTCTGGTGTCGGAGGTGCACTCACATGACATGTTAGTGTTAAAGGCGCATAGGCTTACCGGGGCTTAAGCCTCAATTTCACACATTAAAATATGGAATCTTGCCCTCTCTTTTTGTTTATTTTTTATTTTGTTTCCATTCTACACACAAATGAAAGAACCTCATTGACTCATTCTTCTTCTTTTTCATCATCCCCTTCAGACTCAATACTGAGACCTACCTCTTTTTTCCGTCTTCAACAGTAACCGAGCAGTCCAGCATCCACCAGTTTCTCATCTCTCTATGTATTTAAACGCCATTCTGTTTTCATCCCTTTTTACTAATTTCTGTTTTTCCTTCCCTCTACTACAGCCCGTATCACTCGCTCTCCCTCTTTAATATCCTCTTCTCTCATTTTCCATAATCTCTTACCCTTTCTATGTAGCTTGTTAACTTGTATAGATGAAGGCATTGAAGGTGGTAATATGGAAGGAGTCAAGGAGGTCGAATTTGGTGATAGAGTTACAAATATAAATAATAATGCAAAGAATGATGCTCTGTTTTTAATTTCAACTTATCAAGTTTGTTTGTTATCATAGTGAATAATCTATTTTGCCCTATTTAATACTCTGTATTATTTTATGTATATGTTTTTGTGGCTTGCGCCTCACACGGCAGAAGCATACCGTCTCGAGGACTGATTTCACCTTTCAAAACATTGATTTATCCCTCCTTTAGATCCAGATATTTTTACTTAATAAGTTAATAAGCATACGAAGTCAAACCCAGAACATGGTCTTGCGATGGAGGGTATTTGTAATACGCATGCTATAATGAGAAAAGGTTATGGCATATCCTATGCTTCAAAAGAATATTTAAATGAAGTCACACATTTGATTATAAGAGTTAAGAACATTAAAGAAATACTAATTGAAGTCATGTGTACTAATGAGGCTGCTTGATCGGGAAAAGCTTGGAGTCACGAGTTACTCTCTTCTAGTGTCAGGACATTGTTGTTATTATAATATTACTATAATACTATTATACTCCCTATGACCCATTTTGTGACATACACTTCCTTTTTTGAGTTGCCCCCAAAATATGAACACTTTCTTAAATTGAACTCCATTAACTTTTTACATTCTCACTTTATCCTTTTATCTATCATTTCAACCTTTACATTTTGTAGACTCTTCTTACTTTTTCTTACTTTTGGGAGTTTAAATTGTAAAACAACCACTTTGTCCTTTATTTATTTAAAACTCACGCCAAACCCACATGTATCTTACATTATGGGGCGGATAGAGTAATATTATTACTAATAGTTTTAGTTTAGGTGTTAATGTTAGTTTTTATTATTAATATATGATTGTTATTAGTAGTAATTAGTAATACCCTATCTGTATTGAGATTCATTTTAGTTAGTATTCCTAACAACTGTATTGTAATAGGTTTATGGTTACTCTAATACCTATTCACAAAGTCTCTTAGGGTTAGTACTTTAGTATAAATAGATGTGCTTTATTCATGAGGAAGCGGTCCATCTCAGTTGGTCGCCGACTCACTCTCCCATACGGGAGGTCTCGGGTTCGAAACTTTATGGAGGGAGTTTCAGCCCTGTTTCCCTGTTTGCTCCAGGGTCCCCCAGCCCCCTCCCGTTGACCCCCCCGGGGTAAAAAAAGTGCTTTATTCATTTGTACCATCATCAATAATTTTGGAGTTATATCTTTGGACTTTTGGAGTGTAGATAGTTAGGTAGGGCACCACCTTCATTTGCTTTATCTTTATTGATTTCAATGCTCTCTTCCCTTTCATCTCCCAACCATACCCGTTAAGATGACTGCAGTCTATTTGCTTATATGTCTTTGAAATACTAGTTGATCTATTTGTATGTTGTTTCGCTGGGATGAACTTCTTCCCAAGGACTTCAATTTTGGCATTATGTGTATCCCCGGTAAATAACTTTTATGGTTGCAATAAAAAAATTCTCAAGAGATTGATGTTTACAGATTGTTGTGATGGAAGTGACGAGCATGCAAGTAAAACCAAGTGCTCAAATACATGCTGGGAAGCTGGCAAGGAGGCTAGAGATAAATTGAAGAAGAAAATTGAAACATATCGAGAAGGTGTTGTTATACGGAAGCAAGAAATTGCACAAGCAAAATTAGCAATAGTTAAGGAGGAAGAAGAATTATCCACACTAAAAAACAAGGAGATTACACTTAAAGATCTTGTTGAGGAGTTGAAGGGTACTCCCTCTATCTCATTTTATCTGTCTTGCTTTCCTTTTTGGTTGTCCCAAAATAAGTGTCACATTTCCTTTTTTGGAAAGAAAAATGTGGTCCACAACATTTCACTTTATTATACTCAAATCTCAACCACAACTTTTACGTTTTCAACCACTTTATAAATAACTGTGCGGCCTGTGCCAAACCAGAATAAGACATAAAATGGGACTGAGGTAGTATAATTTAGCATTAGCTTTGTTGTACTAGTGATAGAGTAGTGACCAAGGTAGTCAAAAGCGCGCGCCTTGTCGCTTAAGCGCACTGTTAAGGGCCCTGGTACAGGATCTCGTCCAAGGCCGTTGATAATGAAAGACGGGATCTGAAGCTATGATGTTGGAATAAAAAAAAACCCTAACTTCCTGCCCTGGGCAAGGAAGGTGATTTCTGGCTCCACCAGTAAATCAAGAGATTAATTAATCCAAACTTAATACTTTATTCAAACTGATAAGCCTTATATAGGCAGAAATAAGTTTCCTAAATAATATTAGGAAACAGATCTAAATTATTAGAGTCATTAATAAGAGATTGCCTAAAATAAGGAAAGCTAGATAAATGGAAATAACTGTGATAAGGAAAGCAGAATAAAAGGAAACAACTAGAATAACTAAAGGGAAATAATTAGGAAAGCTTGTGGACAATTAATTAGGCCCCTTTTATGCGCCTCTGGTACACACGACCAAAACGACATGTATCATCACTCCCTCCATTAGCAACAAGCTTGTCCTCAAGCTTGAAATCTGGAAATGTCTCCCGAAATATAGCATAATTCTCCCAGGTGGCCTCAGCTTCCAGTTTACCCTCCCAATGTACCAAGAGCTCATACAGACCATTGTTGTGGCGAACCTGCAAAACAGCTAAGGGACGGACTAGAAGTGGTTCAGCTGCGAGTGGTGGCAGTTCTCCCATTTGTACTGGTGTGGGACCTGAGTGAGGTTTCAGAAGGGAGACGTGAAACACATATTGAATGCGGGTACCCGGTGGCAAAGTCAGGCGGTAGGCTGCGAGCCCAATAACTTCTGAAACTTGAAAAGGCCCAAAGAACTTTGGCAAAAGTTTGTGGTGACCACGGCTAACTGTGAGTTGCCTGTAAGGGTGAGTGCGTAGCCAAACCCAATCTCTTGGAGCGAATGTTACCTCGCGATGGCCTCTATCATATTGTAGCTTCATTCTTTGTTGAGCTTGGGTCAGACGGCCTTTAGCAGCAGTGAGGATGGCATCGCGGTCAAGGAGCTCATGGTCAATGTTGTCCAGTTTGGCGGTTCCTGGTGTATAAGACAGAAGCTTGGGTGGTTCTCTGCCATAGACAAGCCGAAATGGAGTATCTCCAAGGGAGGAGTGGTAGGAAGTATTGTAGCAATACTCAACCCAAGGCAACCAACGTACCCAATCTCGGGGTCTATCACTTGTGAGGCATCGAAGAAACATTTCAACGGTGCGATTGACAACTTCTGTCTGGCCATCGGTTTGTGGATGATAGGCAGAGGAGAAAGCCAGCTTTGTACCGCTAAGGCGGAATAATTTCCTCCAAAAAGTACTGACAAAAATTTTATCACGATATGAGACAATGGACTCGGGCAACCCATGAAGCCGGAATATTTCCGTGAAAAAAACTGCAGCAACAGACATGGCAGTGAATGGATGACTCAGAGCAAGAAAGTGAGCTGCCTTAGAAAGCCGGTCCACCACCACAAGAATGACTGATTTGCCCTGGACTTTGGGTAGGCCTTCAATGAAGTCCATCGAGATGTCCGCCCAAATATGAGTAGGAATAGGCAGCGGTTGTAGTAGGCCAGCTGGTTGTGTGTTAAGCCACTTGTGTTTTTGACATACCTGGCAATCTCGTATATAGCTAGCCACCTCACAATTCATCCCTTTCCAGTAAAATTCCCGACGGATGCGGTTTAAGGTTTTTTCAACTCCTTCGTGCGCCATTGAATGAAATATAGATATTATGGTTGGAACAATGTCAAAGGATGGCAGCAGATATACCTTATACCGATAAAACAATAGCCCCTCACGATATTCCCATTCAGAACCCAAACTGCCAGATTCAATTTGATGACGTAACTGGAGGATCTCGGGGGACCCTGCTTGAGCCTTGCGGATGTTGTCTAGAAGAGATGTGTATGGAACAGAAAGGGCAGCAATGCATGCTTGATCTTCATGGCAGCGTGATAAGGCATCAGCTGCAATATTGTGTTTGCCCGGTTTGTACTCAACTTTGAAATCATAACCCATAAGCTTGCTCAGCCAATGTTGTTGAGGAGAGGTGGTGAGCCGCTGGTCCAGCAGGTGCTTAAGGCTAGAATGGTCTGTGCTTATCAGGAACTCCCAGCCCCATAGATATGGACGCCAATGTGTGACTGATTTAGCTAGTCCAATAAGTTCCCGTTCATAAGCTGCCAACGTAATGTGTCTGGCTGCAATTTTGCGGCTGAAATATCCTATTGGATGTCCTTCCTGCTGCAAGACTGCCCCGAACCCGCTCCCAGAAACATCGCATTCAATAAGAAAGGGCTTAGTAAAATCAGGTAACTGGAGAACGGGGGCAGTGGAAAGGCAATGCTTGAGAGTATTAAAAGCCGATTCAGCTTCGAGGTTCCAGTTAAAAGAGTTCTTCTTCAAGAGTTGAGTGAGAGGGGCTGTTATGATGCCATAGTTCTGGATAAACCTGCGATAATAACCTGCGAGTCCAAGGAAACCACGTAGAGCAGTTAGGGTTCCGGGTACAGGCCAATTACGGACAGCCGTGACCTTGGTTTGATCGACTTCAACACCGCCATTGTGGATAACATGTCCCAGATAATCTACTCTTACTTCCCCAAAACTGCATTTGGAATGTTTCAAGAACAAACCATGGGCACGTAAGAGTTCAAAGACCAACCGTACATGGTGTACATGTTCTACCCAAGTCTTGCTATAGATGAGAATATCATCAAAAAAGACAAGCACAAACTTGCAAAGATATGGTCTAAAAATATCATTCATCAAGCTTTGGAAGGTAGAAGGTGCATTAGTTAGACCAAAGGGCATTACCAGAAATTCGAAGTGGCCGTGGTGTGTACGGAACGTTGTTTTAGGCACGTCTTCAGGAGCCATGCGTATCTGGTGATACCCGGATCGAAGGTCTAATTTAGTGAAGAAGCGGGCCCCATGCAGCTCGTCTAGTAACTCATCTATCACTGGAATTGGATATTTATCTTTGATAGTGCGAGCATTGAGTTCACGATAATCCACACAGAAGCGCCATGTATTATCGTGCTTTTTTACCAAAAGAACTAGAGACGAGAAAGGGGATTGACTCCGTTGAATGATTCCTTGTTCCAGCATTGTGGTACACTGTCGTTCGATTTCATCTTTCTGAAAGTAGGGATATCGGTATGGCCGCACTACCACAGGTTCAGCACCTGAGATCAGTGTAATACGATGGTCACATGATCTAGAAGGGGGCAGACCCACGGGCTCACGAAAGAGGTCAGTAAAGTTGCCCAAAAGTGCTTCCAGTATAACACGATCTGTGCCCGGTGGTAAGGCCATGCTGGTCGGCCCAGATCGGGGGTTTTGGCCATGCCATTCAACGCGTTTGTTGGACCAGGAAAAGTTCATTGTGAGCTGGGAGAAGTCCCATATAATAGATCCCAAACTGCGAAGCCATTCTACCACTAAAATCATATCAATGCCGGCTAAGGATAAGACATAGCAGTCAGCCCGGAAGTTGATGGTGAGGATTGTGAATTCCAGATTAGGGATTCTGCCCACAATCGGAACTCGTTCACCATTGGCCACAAGTACAAATAAATGAGACGGTTGAAGCGTAGGAAACTCAAATTGCTTGACAACACGCTCATGAATAAAGTTATGGGTGCTGCCAGAGTCTACCAGGATCGTGATTGGGGTTCCTTGAATAGTTGCTGCAATCTGCATAGTGGTTGCAGACCCGATCCGGTCATAGCATGCAATGATAAGGCCATGTCGTGTTCAGCTACGGGAATAATCACGTCCTCCTCGTCATCTAATATCTCCAATGCAAAGAGTTGCTTGCAACGGTGTCCACGAACATATTGTTCATCACAATGATAGCAAAGGCCTTTAGCTTGACGGCTGGCTGCCTCGGCTCTAGAAATTCGTCGACGCCAAGGAAGAGCCTGTTGGGTGTGGTCAACGGTCTGCCGCGATTCAGAAGTTACGGAATTGCCCTGAGACACTACAGGAGGTGGGTTCTGTCGTGGTTAGGGTCTGTGGGACACGATTGAAAGAGGTGTCACAGTTTGTTGCTTGCGTTCAATTGCAACGTCCTAGCTGCCAGGGGCTTGAAATTCAAGTTCTAAACGGACGTCAATACAAAGTCCTGCCATGAATGCGTTGACCTCAAATTGGCTGGGTAAGCCGTCAACACGTGCTAGTAGTCATTGGAACGAACTAATGTATTCGTCAACGGTGCCGGTTTGTTTGAGTTGAAAAAGATCTCCAGAAGGATTAGAGCTTAATGGAGGGCCGAAACGGAGAAGACAATTCTCTGAAAATGTTTTCCATGAGATGCCTGATTGGAGTTTTTCAGCCCAAAGTTGAGCATCGCCCACCATGTGGAAGGTGGCCAAGCCCACACGTGCCATTGGAGCTATTTGTTGGTGCGCAAAGAACCGCTCACAGCATTTCAACCAACTCAGAGGGTCCCCTGTACCGTCAAAGGATGGAAATTCAAGTTTGGAATAACGAGGAACCATACTGGAATCACCACGGTCGCGATTCTGGTTGTCATCGTTCAAGCTTGTAGATCTGCCGCTCAATGCGGTGAGTTGAGAAGAAAAAGAATTCATCATGTCAGTAATCTTTGCCTCAAGAGTCCCTTGTCGCTGGTTGATGTCTGCCATGAAAGTTTTGAAGGTTTCAACATTAAGAGTTTCGTTGCCCATCGTACTGGATGCTGATACCAAATTGTTAAGGGCCCTGGTACAAGATCT